ATGAACTAATGGGAAAGGGATTTCTTTCTATTCTCTATCTACTACTCGGTTTGACTCAATTTATTTATGACACTAGAACTCTACTGTCATGGGGAAAGAGAAGAGATAATATCTATGTATATTGTTTTTAATTGGCAAATGTTAGTTATTAGTTGTTAGATTAACACTGTTAAGTATATATGTATTTGATATTATTATTTATTATTAAGGGTAGTTTACAAGTCTCAAACATTTTGTTTAATTATTTATTTAAGATGGACTTCTACATACATCTGTTTGAACAACCATTCTGAAAAATGATAATTATGCGTGCTTACTTATCGTTAATTTAGTAGTATAAATATCTTTTTTATAGCTTTCTTGTGAAATGAACTGACTGTTAATACTAATAAGTGTCATTATACTGTTGACTGTAGTGGTAAGACCCAAACATCACACCTGATAGTCCACTAAGATAATCCTTTGATCTCATAACCTTCATTACTAACAGCAAAAAAAATCGTAAAATATTATTTGATAGCAAAATGGTTCTAATAACTGGTTCTAATAAGTGAATTTACTAACAAGAGTTGCGATTGAATTTATTATTTATTGAAATAAACCTATCAGAGCAACAGATAATTGTGGTGATCTTTTCTATACAAGACAAACAACGATATTTTTTGGGATTTATGGTCCATGTATTATTTATTGAACTGGTGGCATTCATGACTTGAATTTGATATGAACCCAATAACTAGATGAAACTCATATTAAACTTTAATTGAATCTCTTAGGTTTATGGATTGCTTATTTATTTTACTTATTGAAATGCATCAATGGATTATTTATTGTTTATTCATTTTTTTGTAAATGGTTCTACTAATTGGGGAATTTAATAATTATTTTTGCAGTTGCTGACTTTGGAAAAAGAGGGACCGAACTCGCTAGAGAAACAAGTTTGAAGAATGAAAAGCTTAATAACTATTTTTACAGTAGTTGGCTTTGGAATAAGAGGGACCAGACTCACTAAAGAAGCAATTTGAAAGATGGAATGAATTGGTCATTTTTACTTGTACATGATTCATTTGGGACCTAATCTTTTATGTTTTAGAGTATATTTTGGCGCTTTGATAAGATGTAATTATTTTTATCTTTGAATGAAATTTGTGTTAGATTTTCATTGCAATGGTATAGTTTTTTGTGTGATGGATAAATAATTATTACATTGACAGCAATGGGTTTTTGAATTCGAAAAAAAACTAATGATAACATTTAAAACGATTTGAAGAATGCTACATGAATTGTTTATCGTGGCATTCATACATAGCTCAACATTTCCACTTGCATATCAAGTGTTTGATAAAACGTCTCTAAGAGAACAACAACAACAACATATTTTTCTATACACACGAGTCATAAATCACATAAAAAAAATTCACCAAGGAGTCACAAAGATTAGAACGATGTGCTGAAAGAGTTATCAACTATATGAGTTTCATATAATCAAATTGAAATATTTCAAAACAAAAACAAAAAATCAAAAATTGTACCTCAATGACAAAGAATGGAAGCAGATTCTAGCAGTTCGTTCTCTGTCTAGATGATATCTCTTACTATATTACATATATTTTTTTTTATATATATACTACACTTCAGTTAATGGGAAATAAATCAAATTCTTAGTTTTTTTTTTGTCATTGATCTAATCTACAGGTGTTCTAAGTACAGAACACCTTGGTGTTTCAGATCTAATCTGCAGGTCGTCGACAAAATGAAGAACTCGTTCATTCATGGTTTTGGGTCCGTCATTACTTGCGACAAGATAGTAAATAGAAGATGGTTTTCGGCGTACCTGATGGTTTAGATCCGGCGAAGGCGAGGACGTGGACGACGAATCCGGCGGCAGCTTCAACGGGGGACGGCAAGGTCGTCGGTTGTTCGAGGGAGTTACACGGTGCCGCTTGAAGGAGGAGTTCACAGAGTGAAGCAGCTGAATGAGGCAAATGTTGCCTCGTTTTTCCCTAGGCCCCAATTTATGAGATATGATATAATATTCCCAACAATCATCTAGAGCCAAACACACTCCTATGTCAAACTCCATTTAGGATATCTAAACCCAACTCCAAACTTAATAGTAGGTGTGACCAAACACCCCATTTCAACACAAAAAAGAAAAAAAAAAAAGTGCAGATTTTTTTTGTTTTTGTTTACATCGTTGTCTTCATGCTTTCCTTTCTAACTTCTCTCTCATTTTCCTTTACTTCCTTGGTGGCCAAACACCACACCCTTGCTCCACCCTTACACCGCCACCTTAACCCACCATCTCCACCACTGCCTGCCACCTTATCTCGCCGGAAAAAAGGGTCCGGTTGGCCACTCCTTAAATCCATCCGAAAATAGCACAATAGAAGTACCAACTCTAGATTTTTCTTAATCTTTTGAAGAATTAAAGCATGGGGTTTATTTTCTTGATGGATTAGAGGCTTGTAATTGGTAAGAATCTTTCTCTAAAAGTTTAGTCTAAGGTTTTACATATTTTGAGTTAGAGATGATGAAATTTTTTTATTTTAGATCTATTATGATTTGGGGTTTGATTGTTGAATTTTATACTCTCAATTAGTTTCTATGAATGTTTTACATGTTAAAAAATTATCAATTTGATGGTTGTTTTGGAGATTAAGATTTTGGGTTAATCTAGGGTTTGAATGTGATGTAAAAATTGGAGATTTTGGTATTAGGAAATTTATAAATTGAAATTGATTTGATAAATGGTGGATTGGGTATCTCTATGTTCTATGGAGGAATTTTATAAGTGATTGAAAAGATTTTACTTAAGTTGTTGAGTTTATAAAAAATGTTGATTTTTGACTTTTGTAGTTAATTGATGGTGGTATTGTGCATATAAATTGATTGGATATTTAAAAAGTTACTAACTCAAAGATGTACAAAAGATGGGTGTTGTGGAGATTGAATAAGTTATTTGTTTGGGTGACTTGAAGTTGGAGGAGTTCTTTAGCTTGTCATTCTTTAGCATAATTTTATTTAGGATCATTTTTTGTAGATGTTGTAATTTTCATTGAAAGCTTTTTCCTAATTTTAGGTCCTATTTATTAATTGTTAGGATAGGAGGAAGGCGTTTCTACACCTCTTGGGAATTAATTTGTAGAGTCTCAATCTACGCTTTTGCTATTTTTGGAGGTGAGTATACTTACCATAAAAATTACCTTACCTCTATCTTTATTATAAAATTTGAAGATAATTTTGAATTAAAAGAAGTGAATGATACATTTCATCATGGTATATGTACAAAAAGAAATATCTATAAATCTATTGAGGCCAATAGTTGAGTTTAAATAAATATATGATTTCATTTGTATAATGAAGCACTAATTTTTTTTATGAGAATTTATTTAAGTTGAGTCCTTCAAATTTTATGATGATGATGATTGAATGACAATGAAACGTTGTACAAGGGTATTTTTTTTTTTGTTTTGATCATATAACCAACAATAGCCTTTGGGGCCACAAGGGCCAAAATGCTTTAGGGTCCTGGGGACCGAAATGTTTTAAGGACCATAAGGGTCGTTGTATATAAAAGGGGTCCCGGGGACCGAAACATTGAAATGAGAATTGAAGTGCTACGTTGACATGAGTTATGTTCCTATGGTTATGTTTTGGGTAACGGTACCGTCACCACCCAAGTCACGAGGTAACGCGACCCTAAGGCTATGTAGTGGTTCGTATGATCGACATGAAATCTTAATGTATTGAAAAGTTATATTTTTGTTTACTTTCATTATTTTTATTTTTATTTTTATTTTGTATGAATTTCAGTCCAATTAAGCTCTTATGTTTATTATCTTTATTTTGAACCCAATTGGAAGGAGCAAGTTTTATAACTCCATGGTATTGGTATACTCATTGGGCTTTAGCTCATTCTTTTAAATAATTTTTTTTTTGATTCATAGACTTTTGTGTGGCTCGCCTCAACTTGGAAGACTAGAATTTTTTTTGAAGGATCACAGGTGGGCATCTTGTGGTTGAGGTTTTGCTTAGGGTCAGTTCCAACCATTGTGTTAACTACCCACTTAATTCTCAGTTAATTCTGTGGGTTTCACTAATCAAAACAAAATTTGCTTATGAAGTTGGATGTATTGATGGATTCGTGATTAGTATGTATTATATTTTTTTGGGGAGGAAATGCTTGGGAACTATCTTGTAGCATGATGATACTTTTTGTCTTTGAATAGATCATCTGATATATGTTGGGCAATTGAAAGGTCTTATGCACTTTTGGTGATGTGGTGATGTGATGTAAGAATTATACAGGAATTGTGATGTAAAGGTGCTATAGCGTTTGAGGTGCACCCTCTTGGCGGGGTTTTGCCTTGCCAAGATTGGGTCGTTACATTTTTGGTATCAGAGCATTAGGTTATGAATCTGTAGACTAGTTACTTTAGAATTAAAGTTGATAGGGTATTGTAGTTAGTAATTCGATTAGTGATGATGTTTAATAGCGATCTAGTATTCTAAGTTTTAATTGTCTTGTTATACAGGCGCGTATGGCAAGGCGAAAAGTTCATAAGAGTCACCCCCTTATGGAAGTACTTGAGGCTGAGCGAGAGCCACATCTTAGTATTGGAAATGAAGTTCCATCTCGGGTTCAGGAAGAAGAGATTGAACATGAATCGCATAATGAGCAAACTCAAGAGTCAAGTGCCAATCCAGAAGTGGGACATTCAGATAGAGTTGTACCACCAAGGGCTAATGTAGCTCCAGCATTTTTAGACCCTAGTGTGTAGCGCCTTTTAGAGTCAGCGGCTAGCCTAGCGGTGAGGCAAACTCGCATCCTTGAACAACATAATGCAGCATAGTCTAGGCCATTTGTGTAACCTACAGAGAACCGCCTCATCGCAATTGAGAGGTTCAAGAAGTTGGGGGCTCCATCATTTTCTGGATCGCCCAATCCTATGGAGGCAGAGGCCTAGTTAAGGAGGGTAGAACAGATATTTTCTGTGATGGAAGTATCAGACGAGCAGCCAGTTGCACTTGCTAGTTTTATGCTGGTGGAGGAGGCTGAATATTGGTGGGAGGCCACGCAATGCCTACTTACGGCATGTGGCACTGGAGGATTGACCTGGAACCAATTCACTAAGGTTTTCAATGACAAGTACTTTTCAGCTACCTATCGGTATGAAAAAGAGAGAGAGTTCTTTCGGCTAGAGCAAGGGGATTTGACTGTAGCTTAGTATGAAGCTAAGTTCATTTCTTTATCTCGTTTTGCCCCTTCGTTTGTGGATGATGAGGAGGTCAAATGTCGTCGTTTTATAGATGGGTTGGATTTGGACATCAAATCTCGTATCCGAGTATTGGGAATAACTAACTATTCGACCTTGGTTGATAAAGCCTTAACAGCTGAGAAAGATGTCATAGAAATGAAGTTAGCGGAACAACAGAAGAAGCGCCACCTTAGTTTATCCCATCATGAGAACACATCTAATAGACCGTCAAAGAGAGGTGGTCATGGTTATGGTTCAGTCAAGAGCTCTAGTGCATATCAAAAAAATAGAGAGCATCCCACCCCAACCCAAAGCATTTCTAATCAGCGTCATGGACAGTCTAGTGGGACATCATCTCAGTTTACTCAAAGTGTTTGCAAGCAATGTGGGCGGGCACATACAGGCGTTTGTCATGCTGGTACCGACTTGTGTTTTCGTTGTGGCCAGAAGGGTCATTTGGTGAAAGATTGCATAGTTCCAAAAATGACTAATTTGGGAGATACACGAGCTTGCTTCAATTGTGGACAACCCGGACATTTGGCTAGAGATTGCACACGAACCGCTTCATCTGCTAGTATTGGAGTTGGTAGTAATAAAATTTCAGGTGCCGGCCGAGGGGGAGGCCGAGGAGGAGGTCAGGTTGAGACTAGGTTTGGCAAATAGAATAAAGGAGGTGTTCAATCCGATAGACAAACCTCGCAGGGGAAAGTTTTTGCTTTGACTCAGCGGAATGCTCAGGCTAATCCGGAGGTGGTGGCAGGTATTATTTATGTGTTTAGTAGGGAGGCACATGTACTTATTGATCCGGGTTCTACGCATTCTTTTGTATCTCTATCATTTTCTTTGCATGCTAATAAACCTATTGAACCTCTAGGCTATCGTTTATCCATTATTACTCCTATTGGGGATTGTGTTATAATTGAGGAGGTATATCGTGGTTGTGTACTAAAGCTGGGAGATAGGGAGATGGTAGCGGATTTATTGCCTTTAGAGATGCTTGATTTTGATTTGATTTTGGGAATGGATTGGTTGGCTTCTTACCATGCTTCGGTGGATTGTTATAGGAAAGAGGTAGTATTTTCCAATTTTGGGGAACCTGAATTTAGATTTTGTGGAGATCGATGTGCGTCCCCATCTTATGTTATTTCTGCTATTACCGCTTGAAAAATGCTTAAGAAGAGGTGCCAAGGATACTTAGCCTATGTGGTTGACTCCGAATTGAGTGGTCCAAGACTGGAGGATATACCAATTGTGTGTGACTTCGTAGATGTTTTTCCCGATGAACTACCTGGATTACTCCCAGATCGAGAAATTGAGTTTGCTATTGACTTAATTCCTAGAACTACCCCAATTTCTAGTGTACCTTACCGTATGGCCCCAGCAGAACTTAAGGAGCTTAAGATGTAATTGTAAGAGTTATTGGATAAAGGCTTCATTAGGCCAAGTGCCTCGCCTTGGGGATCACCTGTGTTATTTGTGAAGAAAAAAGGTGGCACCATGAGATTGTGTATTGACTATCGATAGTTGAATAAGGTCGCGGTGCATAATAAATATCCTTTGCCTCGTATAGATGATTTGTTTGATCAACTTCAGGGAGCATGTGTGTTCTCCAAAATCGATCTCAGAACAGGGTATCACCAACTTAAGATTAAGGAAGAAGACATGCCAAAAACTGCTTTTCGAACTCGCTACGGCCATTATGAGTTTCTTGTTATGCCTTTTGGTCTAACTAATGCCCCCACCGCATTTATGGACCTTATGAATAGAGTGTTTCAACCATACCTTGACCAATTTGTGATTGTATTTATTGATGACATACTTGTTTATTCCAAGAGTCAAGAGGATCATCAACAACACTTATGGGTGGTATTATAGACTTTACGAGAAAGGAAGCTGTATGCGAAGTTTAGCAAATGTGAGTTTTGGTTAGATCGTGTCGTATTTTTGGGGCATGTGATTTCGGGTGAAGGTATTGTTGTGGATCCAAAGAAAATAGAGGCTGTGGTGAACTGGGATCGTCCTACTAACGTGACCGAGGTGAGGAGCTTTTTAGGGTTGGCAGGCTACTATCGTAGATTTGTAGAGGGGTTTTCATTGATTACGGCACCATTAACACATTTGACCTGTAAGAATACCAAATTTGAGTGGACAGAGAATTGTGAAAAGAGTTTTCAAGAATTAAAAAAGCTATTAACTTCTGCCCCAGTGCTTACTATTCTATTAAGTGGTGAAGGATTTATTGTTTACAGTGATGCCTCTCATCAAGGGCTCGGTTGTGTGTTGATGCAACATGGAAAGGTTGTGGCCTATGCATCTAGACAATTGAAGAACCATGTACGCAATTATCCCACCCATGATTTAGAGCTCGCAGCAGTTGTTTTTGCTTTAAAGTTGTGGAGACATTATTTATATGGGGAAAAATGTGAGATATATACCGATCATAAGAGTTTGAAATATTTATTCACACAAAGGGATTTAAATTTGAGACAAAGGAGATGGGTTGAACTGATTAAGGACTATGATTGCACCATTAATTATCATCCAGGAAAAGCTAATTTGGTGGCCGATGCTCTTAGTCGGAAATTTAAAGGGAGATTAACTCACATTCAGGGCATTCAATTTAGTCTCTTGCATGAAATAAAATCTATTGGAATTGATCTAGCAGATGGGAAGTCAGGATCCTTGTTAGCTACAATTAAAGTGAGACCTTTGTTGGTGGATTGCATTCGAGATGCCCAAGGGAAAGACTCAGTTTTGGAGAAGACCCGACTCGAGTGAAAGATGGTACTCTGTCAGACTTTATTATTAAAGAAGATGGTGTGTTGATGTTTAAAAATCGGTTGTGTTCCAAATGAGCCCGAGATAAAAAAGGGAGATATTAGACGAGGCCCATAATTCACCTTATGCAATGCATCCAGGGAGTACAAAGATGTATCGAAATTTAAGAGAAAGTTATTGGTGGCCAAATATGAAGAGAGAGATAGCAGAATTTGTGTCAAGGTGTTTGGTATGTTAGTAGATTAAAACAGAGCATCAACGCCCAGCTGGTTTACTTCAACCTCTTCTTATACCTGAATGGAAATGGGAGCATATCGCCATGGATTTTGTTTCGGGCCTGCCTCGCACACAGAAGGGGCATGACTCTATTTGGGTTGTTGTAGATAGGTTGACCAAATCTGCACGCTTTTTGGCTACTAAGAAAAAATTTTCACTTGATCGATTAGCAAAAATTTATGTGGATGAAATTGTGAGATTGCATGGTGTGCCGGTAACTATTGTTTCAGACAGAGACGCATGCTTCACATCCCACTTTTGGCCTAGTCTTCAAAATGCCTTGGGTACTAAATTGAGATTCAGTATAGCTTTTCACCCCCAAACCGACGGGCAATCTGAGAGGACAATCCAAACTTTAGAAGACATATTGAGAGCTTGTGTCCTAGATTTTCGAGGTAGTTGGGATGAACACTTGACCTTAATAGAATTTGCATATAATAATAGTTATCAATCAAGTATTGGAATGGCTCCCTATGAAGCTTTATATGGGCGAAGATGTAGAACTCCAGTATGTTGGGATGAGGTTGGAGAGAGAAAATTGTTAGGACCAGAGATTGTTTAAATTACTACCGATAAAGTACATAATATTCGAGAAAGGTTGAAGGTGGCTCAAAGTAGACAAAAGAGCAATGCAGATAATCGGAGGAGGGATTTGGAATTTCAAGTGGGAGATCATGTATTTTTACGAATCTCGCCATGGAAGGGAGTGATGCGATTTGGCAAGAAAGGCAAACTAAGTCCAAGGTATATTGGGCCATTTGAGATACTAGAGCGCATTGGCAAGACTGCTTATCGTTTGGCCTTACCACCTAGTCTATCTCGCATTCACAATGTGTTTCATGTATCCACGTTGAAGAAGTACATGCCTGAACCATCACACGTGTTAGATTTCCAACCAATCCAACTCAAGGATGATTTGTCTTATGAAGAGGAAGCCATAGAGATTGTGGACATGAAGGATCAAATACTACGTTCCAAGACTATATCACTAGTAAAGGTATTGTGGAAAAATCATGCTTTGGAGGAAGCTACTTGGGAGCGGGAGGATGATATGAAAATTCGATATCCACATCTTTTTCAAGGTATGAACTAGACTAAACAAATAAGTAAATTTCGTGGACGAAATTTCCTTTAGGGGGGTAGAATTATAATATTCCCAACAATCATCTAGAGCCAAACACACTCCTATGTCAAACTCTATTTAGGATATCTAAAGCCAACTCCAAACTTGATAGTAGGTGTGACCAAACACCCCATTTCAACACAAAAAAGATAAAAAAAAAAAAAGTGCAGATTTTTTTTTGTTTTTGTTTACATCGTTGTCTTCATGCTTTCCTCTCTAACTTCTCACTCATTTTCCTTTACTTCCTTGGTGGCCAAACACCACACCCTTGCTCCACCCTTACACCACCACCTTAACCCACCATCTCCACCACCGCTGGCCAGCTTATCTCGCCGGAAAAAAGGGTCCGGTCAGCCACTCCTTAAATCTATCCGAAAATAGCACAATAGAAATACCAACTCCAGGATCCTTACGCCCAAAACGGGGTCCAAGCTTTTTCCTTATTATAGTTGCTTAGACTGAGAATCAAATAATAATTCTAGCATTAGTCTATTGCAATTGCTATTTATATTGCTAATTTGTGCAACACCCAGGAAGGAGATTGAGTTTGTGCATATCAAATCAACCATTGAGGAACTATTTTTTTTTTTTTTTTGTGTGTAAAAGACAGAAACATGGAGGAAATTCAGTTCGTGTCCACCAGTACAGTCCAACCAACAAGTGAATCAACCGATAAGAGGATTGAGTTAACTCCATGGGATCTCCAGCTTCTCTTACTTGGCCCTATCCAAAAGGGTCTTCTCTTTCTCAAACCCACACCACAACTACTAGCAAACACCATAGTTGATCATCTCAAGATCTCATTCTCTCGCACACTTGACTTCTTCCCTATCCTAGCTGGCCGCCTTTGCGTCGTCAAAAATGACGACGACACCTCCTCCTTCTTCATAGACTGCAATAACGCCGGAGCTCATTTCGTTCACGCTGTCGCTGAGAATGCCAATGTCAGCGATATCCTTGGTCCTGTGTACGTGTCTTGAATTGTCTACTCTTTTTTCCCACTCAATAATGTCCTTAACTATGAAGGTATTTCCAAACCATTCCTTGCCGTTCAAGTAACCGAGCTCATCGACGGCCTATTCATCGGCTGCACCATGAATCACGCAGTCGTTGACGGTTCGTGTTTCTGGCAATTCTTTAATTCTTGGTCAGAAATATCGCGGGGTTCTGACAAAATATCGCGAGTACCGATGGTCAAGCGTTGGTTTCCGGATGAAGTCGACGTCCCCATTCGAATCCCTTTTTGCGCCGATGAAATAAACAATAATTTCGTTTTACCAAAATTAGAAGAAATGGTTTTTCATTTCACGAAAGAGAAAATCGCAGCTCTCAAAGCAAAAGCGAACGCGGAGATGAGCACCACAACTATCTCGTCTCTCCAGGCATTATTGGCTCATTTATGGCGATCTGTGATACGCTGCCAAAACATCAACGACTCTAATCAAGTGGTGAAATACGTGTTACTGGTCAGCGCGAGGCCGAGGCTACGACCCCCGTTGCCGGAAGGGTATTTTGGGAATACAATTCATGCCGAGATGTTATGTTCCACTGCGGGAGAGTTGGTGGAGAAGGGACTTGGTTGGGTGGCTTGGCAAATGAATAAAGCGATTGCTTCGCAAACTAACGAAGCGGTTAGGGATTTCTACCAAAACTGGGTGAAGAATCCGAAGATATTGAAATGGGGTGTCCTGACAAACGATGGTTTGGCAACTAGTAGTTCGCCTCGGTTTAATGTGTATGGAAATGACTTTGGTTGGGGAAAGCCGGTGGCGGTGAGAAGTGGCGGTGGAAACAAGAGCGATGGGAAGATAACCCTTTTTCCGGGGGCGGAGGAAGGGAGTATTGACATTGAAGTTTGCTTGTTGCCTGAGAAGTTGGTTGCTTTGAGGGATGATGAAGAGTTCATGGAAGCTGTCACTATGTGATCAATCTACAGTTTTTTTTTTTTTTTTTTGTTTTTGGGTCTAGCTGGTCAATAAAATTCTCAATAAATTACGGTATCATTAAAAATAATTAGAATTTTATCGTCTTAGTGTAATATATAAAATAAAATTCGTGTGTTATGAATTTCTCTTTTAATTTTATATAAATTTCTAAAGTATTATTTAATACAATTGAGTGATTATTATTTCATCATTTATATTGTGTTTAGCTGGAAATAATATCTAATACAATTGAGTGATTATTATTTCATCATTTATATTGTGTTTAGCTGGAAATAATATCTAATACAATTGAGTGATTATTATTTCATCATTTATATTGTGTTTAGCTGGAAATAATATCTAATACAATTGAGTGATTATTATTTCATCATTTATATTGTGTTTAGCTGGAAATAATATCTAATACAATTGAGTGATTATTATTTCATCATTTATATTGTGTTTAGCTGGAAATAATATCTATTCTGCAGAGAGCAAAGAGAAAATATTTTTGTTATTCACCCTATGTCAGTTTAATGTAACTTCTAATAAATTGCAAGTTGATTTAAAAGGGAGCGTCCAAAATCTAAATTAGAAGGGATAGTTTGAATTCGTGGGGTTTATTAGGAATTCTATTTCGATAACTTGAACTGTTTATTAAAATAGCACAATAGAAATACCAACTCCAGGATCCTTACGCCCAAAACGGGGTCCAAGCTTTTTCCTTATTATAGTTGCTTAGACTGAGAATCAAATAATAATTCTAGCATTAGTCTATTGCAATTGCTATTTATATTGCTAATTTGTGCAACACCCAGGAAGGAGATTGAGTTTGTGCATATCAAATCAACCATTGAGGAACTATTTTTTTTTTTTTTGTGTGTGTAAAAGACAGAAACATGGAGGAAATTCAGTTCGTGTCCACCAGTACAGTCCAACCAACAAGTGAATCAACCGATAAGAGGATTGAGTTAACTCCATGGGATCTCCAGCTTCTCTTACTTGGCCCTATCCAAAAGGGTCTTCTCTTTCTCAAACCCACACCATCACAACAACAACAACTACTAGCAAACACCATAGTTGATCATCTCAAGATCTCATTCTCTCGCACACTCGACTTCTTCCCTCTCCTCTCTGGCCGGCTTGGCATCATCAAAAACAACGACAACACCTCATCTTGCTTCGTAGATTGTAACAATGCCGGAGCTCATTTCATTCATACAGTTGCTGACAATATCACTATCAATGATATCCTTGATCCCATGTACGTGCCGCATATTGTCAACTCTTTCTTCCCACTAAATGGTGTCCTTAACCACGAAGGCGTTTCCAAACCCTTGATTGCGGTTCAAGTAACTGAGCTCATCGATGGCTTCTTCATTCGTTGTACCATGAATCACATAATCGGTGATGGTAGTCTTTCTGGCAATTTTTTAATTCTTGGTCAGAAATATTGCGTGGTTCTGACAACATATCGCGACCTCCATTTCTCAACCGTTGGTTTCCAAGTGGTGATATCAATTGCCCTATTCGAATGCCTTTTTGCTCCGATGAACTAGACAATGAATTCATTGTACCAACCACAGTAGAACAAAGGGTTTTTCATTTCACGAAAGAGAAAATTGCAAAACTTAAAGCCAAAGCCAATGCGGAGATGAGCACCACCACTATCTCCTCTCTCCAAGCACTGTTGGCTCATCTTTGGCGATTTGTCGTACGTTGCCAAATTATCAATGACACGAACCAAGAGGTGGGATACAAGATAGTTATAGGTGCAAGGCAAAGATTGAAACCCTCACTTTGGTTTGGAAAGTGTGGACTGGAATGTTAAGCTGGTGAGATGTGTGTTGGGCAACTCTAGATTTTATTGAAGCTCTGCTACAATGGTGGTCTGGAGCTAGATTCAAGAAAAAAGTTTTGTGCATCTAGAAGATTGTGCCATTGGTTGTATTGTGGTCAATTTGGAAATTTCGGAATGAGATTGTTTTTAATAATGGGTAGGCAAATTTTACAGATTTGGTGGAAGTTGTAAAACTTAGAGTAGCTTTTTGGGCCAAGAGTTGTGTGTCAAGTCTGCAATACTCTATGCATGACTTCTTGTTCAATTTTTAGTAGATTAGGATGTGTTTGTAAGGGGTAGTTTTGATACTGTTGTTGTTGTTGGTTCAAGTAAATTTCTGGGCTGCTGCTGTGGATTTCTGGTGCGTGATCTGTTTGGTGTGTTCTACTTTGATCTGCCTATTGTTGTGCTCTGTGGTGGATCTGATCAGGATGTGTTTGGGGAGATGGCAGTGCAATTGAGTGCTCAGTCCAGTTGGTGCTCTGTCTTTTTGTTTTGTTTTGGGCAGCCGCATGGGAGGTTGCAAATTTGGTATAAAGTTGCAAAGCTGTCTGCTGCTGGTTAGTGCAAATCTTTGTATTGTATTGTATCAACAACTACTTCATCATCAAATCACAATATCAAGAATTGCACTTTTACTAGGTAGTAAACAAGCAGATTCAAATTTCCTAAATGATGTTGTGTACTGCTGTGGTGCTGAGATTGGGATCTGTCACTAGGAGTGAATTTGGGCATTTTGGATGGAATATGATAGAGTGCATTGGGCAGCAAGGGGTAGTTTTCTTTGGTTTGTTTCTGTAGAGTTCTTCATCAAGTGATGCATACTGAATAAAGGAAAGTGAAAGTGATTGCATAGTTGCCTATTATTGTGTGTTGAAAGGGTCTGCTGCTAATTGCTGGTTTGCTCGTGCTACTAAGTGTTGCTTTGCTGATGGTTCTGCTGCTAAGTGCTGGTCTGCTGATGGAAGCAAGGGAGAAGATCTATTCTTTGCTGGTCTGATGAGGTGTTTTGGTGCAAGGGAATAGGGTGCATACTTGGTTGCCTTTGCCTCAGATTCTGCTGTCATGTTTGTTATGCTGATATGCTTGGGCTACCATTCTGTGCTAATGATAGGGTGTCTTGGCGTCCTTGTTTGTTTTTTTCCTTTTTTGCTTTGTTGGTCTCTCACCAACTTTGGCTTGAGCTTGCAAATGATAAGGTGTATTTCCTAGTGCCAACCTAGTTGGGATTTGGAAAGTTCCCTTGGATGCTTTTTGCTCTTACCTTATCTTTATTGATGTAATTCCATATTTTGTATGTTATCTTCATCAAAAAAGGCATTAGGTCTAGTGAATATTTTTTTGTTGGTGAGAAATCCATGCTTTGTAAAATAGTTTGATGAGAAGTCCTATAAAATATTTTGTTTCCAATTTTACTTATTGACTTTATATGTGTATATATATATATATATATTTGAGTTTTCAATTACTATTTGTTCAAATTTATATCTATTTGTTCAATTTTTTTTACTATCTGTTCAATTTTTCCCCTATCTGTTTAATTTTTCTCCTAAATTCTATCTATATGTTCAATTTCTTTTTCCCTTAAATTCTATTTATCTGTTCAATTTTATATCTATCTATTCAATTTTTTTTTCTATCTGTTGAAAATTTGTGTCAACTTTTTTGTTTATTTACTGCAATCATCATCATCAATTTTTTTTTTCCAAATCTATCTCATACATACACATACTCACAGATATACAAGCATACACTGAAGATAAACATATATACACACACTCACTGATATACATACACTCAAGATATATATTTACATATATATGTATGAGTCATATAAAACAAAGAAAAGAAAATCAAAAGGGTTTTGTTTCTTTTACACTTAGATAGAGATTTTATTAGATTCAAGTATAAAAAAATTAACAACAAATTTAGAGAAAGATTGTTAGAACAAGCTAGATAGAGAGAGAATAAAAAGAAAAAGAGAAGAAAAATCAAAAGGGTTTTGTTTCTTTTACATTTAGATGGAGATTTTATTAGATTCAAGTGTAAAAAAATTAACAACAAATTCATAGAAAAATTGCTAGAACAAGCTAGAGAGAGAGAGGGGGGAGAGAGAGAGAGAATAAAAAATAGAGGAAAAATCAAGAGGGTTTTGTCTCTTTTACACTCAAATGGAGATTTTATTAGATTCAAGTGTAAAAAAATTAACAACAAATTCATAGAAAAATTGCTAGAACAAGCTAGAGAGAGAGAGGGGGGAGAGAGAGAGAGAATAAAAAATAGAGGAAAAATCAAGAGGGTTTTGTCTCTTTTACACTCAAATGGAGATTTTATTAGATTCAAGTGTAAAAAAAATTAAC